TAAAACCAGGATTTCTATCTTTGTGAAAAAGGTGTTGGTTATAGATTTGTTGTTGACTAAACTCTTGTCTATTCAGCTGTTATGGTCCCAGCTGGATTCGTCTGCATATCTGGCAACCTGAGTCAGGGAGAGTGGGAGAGGCTGCAGTACCACTTTTGGCCACATGTTTACATACTGCTCCTTTAACATGCACTTATGATGCGCCGGTTCAAACTTTTAAATAATAAAAATGTACGAGGAATTTGTGATTGCTTTCAGTTGAATAGAAAATATGCACCAAATAGAAAAGTGTTTTGAATTTTACAAAGTCCCCAAAATGGCAGCTATAGCAAGAAAACTAAACCATGATTGAATCCTGTGAATATGTTGCTGGGTAGTAAGCAATGTTTATTTATATGGGTGTGGACCTACTTTTTTATCCATCCATCCATCCATCCATCCATTTTCTACCCTTTAATCCATTTCTGGGTCAGGGGGGTGGCAGTCAGAGATGCCACCCAAGTCTCATAGCACCAGCCCCTCACTGACCCTCTGCAGGTGGTGAGTCCACAGGAGGACGGCTGCTCTCTGAGTGTGAGCATAGCCTTGATCTCTCAGCGGGGGCTTTGGGCAAAGTGGGGTTAAGTGTCTTGCCCAAGGACACAACAACAGCAGTCATCAGTGGGAGTCGGTGGAGAAGGTGCAGAGGTGGGAATTGAACCAACGACCTTCTGGGCTTAAGGCCAATGCTCTACCAACTGAGCTACTGTCGCTCCTACTTTTTTATTTTATTTTTATTTTTATTTTAACTATCCATAACAGGTCTGAGTGACAGGGGATATTACACGCCTTTGTGCTGCCAAGTTGTCAAACACAGACTAGAAATAAGCGCAGTCATGTATGCTCCAAGTGATTCGGGTTAGGGTTGATTCATTAGGAGGTACTGTATATTGGAGCCAGGATTTCTGAGTGGAGTTTTACATGTTCTTCCTGTGTCTGCGTAAGTTTCCTCCGGGTGCTTCGGTTTCCCGTACCACTTAATAACATGTACAATAGCTCTGGCCTGCACCTCCTCAACTGGCAACCCCACTCCCTTCCGTGTAGAGAGAGACAAACGCCCACAATTGTAAAAGCGCTCTTTTTGTGACTCTGGTTTATAAATACAGATTACTGACTTACTTAGAAGGATATAATTACTTGCATCAGGTCATGGGTGGGTATTGTACAATCCATAATGTATGTGACGGATCAAAGATATATCTCTGTTTCCACTGCTGCGATGGAAGCCGTCTCCTCAACCATGCTGTTATTGGCACCCTTCTCCCGGGACACTTTTAGTTAACAGCCGCCCATTATGGCTCTGTGCTGTGACATCAAGAGGTAATGAAAGCAATCGTAAAATGCCTCGTCGCCGTGGTATTCTCAGTCCTTTCTCCTGCCTCTCTCACTCCGAGCTGGTTCCATTTTGTTGTTTCCCAGGGGACTCTCCCACAGCACTGCCAGCCTTCAAATAGAATAACAAAAACAGAAGCAAACGGGAGCAGATTGGCACCTGTCAGAGCTGCCGGGGCGGAGGAGACGGAGGAGTTTCAGAAAGGTGCACTTCCAACAACACTCTCCTCCGCCTCTACTGCCAGAAAACGGCGTTCGCTTTCCCACAAAGTGAAAAAAAAAAAAAAGAAAAAAAAAAATGGTACTTCCCGGAGTCTGTCTGCGGTGGCACTTTAGTTGCTGCGTGGTGATTAACGTAAAAGTAAAGTGACTGTACAGTGGATATAAATCGCAGCATTGCGCATGGTTTTAGTATTTACTTATTCACAGATGAATGCCATTTACAGGCTCCATCCATCCATCCATTTTCTTCCCCTTAATCCATTTCTGGGTCGGGGGGGCGGCAGTCAGAGCTGCACCCAGTTCACAGAGCACCAGCCTTTCAGTTGGGGCTTTGGGCAAAGTAGGGTTAAGTGTCTTGCCCAAGGACACAACGACAGCAGACATCAGTGGGAGTCGTGAAGTAGGTCTTATGGTGGGCCCGAACCCACAACCTTCAGGCCCAAAGGCCAATGTTCTACCAACTGAGCCGCTGAGCCCATTTACAGTCTCAGCGGTTCTCATTGTACAGTCTGACAGCAGCAGGAAGGGAAGACCTGTGGAACTTACATGTGGGAAAGTATAAGCTCTTCTCAAACTTGTATCTGCAGTAATTGGACAGAGAGTGCTAATTGAAAACACAAACCATCTCAAATGTATTACAGGGTTAACGAGATGTACAGGATGGGATTTGCTATTTACGTTTTAGGGATTTTTACTTTACTAGAAAGCAGTTAATGCGTAAATGGGTCGATAAATAAAGCCTTGTTGATTGATATTTGTGTGAAATCAATTAATGAGTCCGGCAGAGATCTCGTTAATGATTCATGGTTTCTGTTACGCAGGCGCCGTCCACCTTCAGGGCTTTCAAAGTGTTTTATCAGAGTCACCGTTCACACTCATTTAGCGCTAGCAGAGTGTAGCAGAGTGTGTTGCTCAAGGACCTGCGGCAGTGGGTCTGGTGCTTCCAGGGTCGACTCAGCTCCTTTAAGGTAAGTCTCAGGGATGAAGCCAACACGGGTCTAACCGCTGTTTGTTGGGACAAGTGCAGGCAGTTTAGTCTGATATTTAAGTCATGGTACACTTTTATTTATCTATTTAGGAGATCCTTTAGCGGTCCCACAGCGGGGAAATGTCAGTGTTGCATCACAAGTTACAAAACAATAGTAGGATCATAGAGTGATGTCGTTGTTCATAGTTTTTCCGCGCCGGTCACGTGAGCAGGTGACATAACAGCATAGAAAGCTACCTGGATGCTAGAGCGTTAGCTAGTTTTAGACGTTTGGAGAGAGGTTTTGCTAAATCAAATGGTCCATTCTCGTTGTGTGGTCGGTCGTTGTGTTCTGTGTTAGACCCACCCCTCAATGCCACACTGTAAAAAAAACCTTGAAAAAAATAAGAAAGAAATATATGAATATAAGTAAAATACTGCTTAAAATAACAAAAAAATATCTGTAAATAGAAGAAATTATGACTTAGGAGAAGACCTGCCAAAGTAGCAAACATGCTAACTCACACATGCTAACTCAAACATGCTAACTCACACACGCTAACTCAAACATGCTTACTCACAAATGCTAACTCACGCATACTAACTAAGCCCTGGTGATCCAAGATGGCGTCCTTTGAATGACTTGTGCTCAGTAGTGCACGTGTCGCCATGGGGACCGAGAGATTATACTACTGCTTTATGAGTGTGTTCACAGTAAAGTGACAATTGAAGTATCTGGACTTTAAAAGGTTATAACTTAAAAACTAAAATTACTTTCATAGATTGGAAAAAAGATTTCAAACACAGACACATTGAAGAGATAGTGTGGAAAAAATCAAAAGGAAAGATTGACATAAAAATTTTTAGCAACATTTTAAACGACCAAATTAGCCTCTGATTGGACCATTCTACTGTGACTCAGTTACATAGAAAATAAAATGTCCTCAGTCTGAAAAAGCAGAAGATGAAATCCCACAAGATTTACATGGTTAACACAACAGAAGGAAATCACTTGATATAAAAAGGAATCGTAAAAAAATAAAAAATAATTAATTAATTAAATGACCCTTGAAAAATGTATAACGGACGTGATGAGGACGGTCCTCTTTTCTCTAAAAATTAAACTTGAGAAGAAAAAAAATCTGGTCTGTTTTTTTTAATTGATTGACAATATGGAAGTATCACTTTGCATCTACTTTGTGTAAAAAAGTAGAATCTCTGAATCAAATGTGGACATCTGAAAATACCATCAAACTTCCACAAAGCTCATTCCGTCAAATCATCACGTCCGTTACATAAAATAAACAGGGCCGCTATAGGAAACTTGTCTAATGTATAAAACAGTTATGTTCTAGAAACTTCTAAAGGACAGAGGAGGTGCTTGGAAACATGAAAAACATAAAATATCTTCTGATTATTAAAATCTAATTTTTGGCCTTTTGTCACACTTTTGTGCCCTTTAGTGTGAACAAGCCCATATACGGTGCATCGTGTGTTCTGCGCAGTGGTTGAGCTCCCATGATGCTTTGGGCCAAATACAGGTGTGTGGCTCTCATGCACGTGCACAGAGGGGCTCGGCCGCGCTCTGACCAATCAGAGCTGATCAGAGCAGCAGCAGGGCGGAGTCAGAGCGGGAACCAGACGGGCAGAGTTTGTGGCAGTAAAGTGCAGATTTGAAGAAAACCAAAGGATTTAAGAAGAAAAAAAGTTCAGGATGACAAGGGACACTAAAATCCCCACAAAATATGTCTTTTGTGAAAGCTGTAGGTTCTCTGTCAGCTGAGGTCGAGTTGTTTTAGTTTACATTGAGTTCTATGGACATTTTTTTGGGTAACGTGAATTTAGTCAGCAGTACAGCGCCCCCTGTGGCCATCGGTGGGACGGCTATAAGCTAGTAATACTCTACCCAGTTATTATTATAGATCCATGATGCTAACTCACACAAACCCACAGTCTCTCCCTCTCGCTGTGAGGCCTGAGTACTCTCCACCCACCTGCCTTCAGCATGACTGTATTCAAAGAAACCATTCTAGGCCAAAACCATCAGCAATCCCACATGGTAAAAAACACACAGACGTTGAACTCCGAAAGTAGAAAGACATTTTGCGCTATCTGCTAACAAAGACACATCTATTAGCCCATAACACGGAGACACAATAAGGCCATTTCACACTGATCTCCTTTGTGAGAAAATATCAGCACTTTTGAAGTCATAATCTCGTTCTTTTCTCTTCTTTTGAAGGTGTTTAGCGGTTGTATAAAAGCTCATCGTAAGCTACTCTTTTTATTATGGAATCAAGCTCTTTATGTTAAAAGCTTCCAGTCAATTTAGAAGTGCAGGAATAAATCTCACTGAGAGCAGATGTCAGAAAAGCCGAGAACGCTCATTAAAAAATAAAATCACTCTGAAAGAATGACAGGTTATGAGCCCGGCATCTCATTAATGTGTGATGACAATGATAACTTTGCCAGTGTGGATTTCCAAACACGATTTCCCCGATTGACAGATGTCTGTATGATTTATGAGGCTCGGAAAGTGGCAGAGGATTTGTGTTTTGGACGAGACGGAGCAGAGCCGTGGCACAGACTGAGGCCCTTCCCCCGGGACGCTGCCACACAGGAGACACAGACTGAGGCCCTTCCCCCGGGACGCTGCCACAGGAGACACAGACTGAGGCCCTTCCCCCGGGACGCTGCCACAGGAGACACAGACTGAGGCCCTTCCCCCGGGACGCTGCCACAGGAGACACAGACTGAGGCCCTTCCCCCGGGACGCTGCCACAGGAGACACAGACTGAGGCCCTTCCCCGGGACGCTGCCACAGGAGACACAGACTGAGGCCCTTCCCCCGGGACGCTGCCACAGGAGACACAGACTGAGCCTTCCCCGGACGCTGCCCACTGACTGAGGCCCTTCCCCCGGGACGCTGCCACAGGAGACACAGACTGAGGCCCTTCCCCCGGGACGCTGCCACAGGAGACACAGACTGAGGCCCTTCCCCCGGGACGCTGCCACAGGAGACACAGACTGAGGCCCTTCCCCCGGGACGCTGCCACAGGAGACACAGACTGAGAGGCCCTTCCCCCGGGACGCTGGCACAGGAGACACAGACTGAGGCCCTTCCCCCGGGACGCTGCCACAGGAGACACCGACTGAGGCCCTTCCCCCGGGACGCTGCCACAGGAGACACCGACTGAGGCCCTTCCCCCGGGACGCTGCCATAGGAGACACAGACTGAGGCCCTTCCCCCGGGACGCTGCCACAGGAGACACAGACTGAGGCCCTTCCCCCGGGACGCTGCCCACAGGAGACACAGACTGAGGCCCTTCCCCCGGGACGCTGCCACAGGAGACACAGAGACTGAGGCCCTTCCCCCGGGACGCTGCCACAGGAGACACAGACTGAGGCCCTTCCCCCGGGACGCTGCCACAGGAGACACAGACTGAGGCCCTTCCCCCGGGACGCTGCCACAGGAGACACAGACTGAGGCCCTTCCCCCGGGACGCTGCCACAGGAGACACAGACTGAGGCCCTTCCCCCGGGACGCTGCCATAGGAGACACAGACTGAGGCCCTTCCCCCGGGACGCTGCCACAGGAGACACAGACTGAGGCCCTTCCCCCGCGGACGCTGCCACAGGAGACACAGACTGAGGCCCTTCCCCCGGGACGCTGCCACAGGAGACACAGACTGAGGCCCTTCCCCCGGGACGCTGCCACAGGAGACACAGACTGAGGCCCTTCCCCCGGGACGCTGCCACAGGAGACACAGACTGAGGCCCTTCCCCCGGGACGCTGCCACAGGAGACACAGACTGAGGCCCTTCCCCCGGGACGCTGCCACAGGAGACACAGACTGAGGCCCTTCCCCCGGGACGCTGCCATAGGAGACACCGACACACCAGGCCTTATGCAATACCTCGTCTATATTTAGGCAGAATGTATACGGTTCAAACGCACGTATATAGAATGTATCTGCACAGAGAGGACAGAGGACAGAGAGGACAGAGAGGACAGAGAGGACAGAGAGGACAGAGGACAGAGAGGACAGAGAGGACAGAGAGGACAAAGGACAGAGAGGACAGAGGACAGAGAGGACAGAGGACATAGAGGACAGAGGGTGTAGCCGGAGGAGGAGTCACTGTAAATATTTGATGTACTCGGCCTAAGTTTTTATTTCTGTGTTGTTTTTCAGGGTCAATATTGATAGAAGTGAAGTAGTATGGTACTACAACTACTGCTACTAGAACTACTGCTACTACTCAGATTCAGTTTACTACTACTACTACTGCTACTAGAACTACTGCTACTAGAACTACTACTACTACTACTGTAAGTAAGTAAGTAAGCTTTATTTATATACCGCCTTTCACAGATCTGAGTCTCAAAGCGGTTTACAATTGTTATTTTTGGGCATTTGTCTCTCACTCCACACAGAGATGGAGCAGGGTCGCCGAACTATTGTACATATTTTTAGTGGTAGGGGAAACCGGAGTACCCGGAGGAAACCTACGCAGACACGGGGAGAACATGCAAACTCCACTCAGAAAGGCCCTGGTCCGGCCGGGATTCGAACCCAGGACCTTCTTGCTGAGAGGCGAGAGTGCTATCCACTCAGCCACTGCTACTACTACTACTACTACTACTACTATTGCTACTACTACTGCTGCTTACTACAACTACTGCTACTAGAACTACTGCTACTACTACTGCTACCACCTCTACTACTACTGCTACTACTGCTGCTACTACTAGTAAGTAAGTAAGTAAGTAAGCTTTATTTATATACCGCCTTTCACAGACCAGAGTCACAAAGCGGTTTACAATTGTTATTTTTTGGGCATTTGTCTCTCACTCCACACAGAGATGGGAGCGGGGCCAGTACAGGAGGCACATGCCAGACCTATTGTATATATTTTTGTGGTAGGGGAAACCGGAGTACCCGGAGGAAACCTACGCAGACACAGGGAGAACATGCAAACTCCACTCAGAAAGGCCCTGGTCCGGCCGGGATTCGAACCCAGGACCTTCTTGCTGAGAGGCGAGAGTGCTATCCACTACTACCACCTCTACTACTACTGCTACTACTACTACTGCTACTACTACTGCTACTACTACTGTTACTACTACTACTACTACTGCTACTTCTGTCATTACTAATACTGTTACTACAGCGACTGCTACTACAACAACTATCATTACTACTACTGCTATATACTTCTGATATTACTACTACTACTACTGCTACCGCGGCGACAGCTATTACTACCACTAATACAAATTCTAAATGTACAGTGCCTTGCGAAAGTATTCGGCCCCCTTGAACCTTTCAACATTTTGCCACATTTCAGGCTTCAAACATAAAGATATAAAATTTAAATTTTTTCTCATGAATCAACAACAAGTGGGACACAATCGTGAAGTGGAATGAAATTTATTGGATAATTTAAACTTTTTTAACAAATAAAAAACTGAAAAGTGGGGCGTGTAATATTATTCGGCCCCTTTACTTTCAGTGCAGCAAACTCAGTCCAGAAGTTCAGTGAGGATCTTTGAATGATCCAATGTTGTCCTAAATGACTGATGATGATAAATAGAATGCACTTGTGTGTAATCAAGTCTCCGTATAAATGCACCTGCTCTTTGATAGTCTCAGGGTTCTGTTTAAAGCACAGAGAGAACCATGAAGACAAAGGAACACACCAGGCAGGTCCGAGATACTGTTGTGGAGAAGTTTAAAGCCGGATTTGGATACAAAAAGATTTCCCAAGCTTTAAACATCTCAAGGAGCACTGTGCAAGCAATTATATTGAAATGGAAGGAGTTTCAGACCACTGCAAATCTACCAAGACCCGGCCGTCCCTCCAAACTTTCATCTCAAACAAGGAGAAGACTGATCAGAGATGCAGCCAAGAGGCCCATGATCACTCTGGATGAACTGCAGATAACTACAGCTGAGGTGGGGATGGTGTGTTCAGGGTGATGAGCTGTGTTGCTTTTACGCCAAACATATCGTTTTGCATTGTGGCCAAAAAGTTTGATTTTGGTTTCATCTGACCAGAGCACCTTCTTCCACAGGTTTGGTGTGTCTCCCAGGTGGCTTGTGGCAAACTTTAAACCAGACTTTTTATGGATATCTTTGAGAAATGGCCACTCTTCCATAAAGGCCAGATTTGTGCAGTGCACGACTGATTGTTGTCCTATGGACAGACTCTCCCACCTCAGCTGTAGTTATCTGCAGTTATCTGCAGTCTTCATGGTTCTCTCTGTGCTTTAAACAGAACCCTGAGACTATCAAAGAGCAGGTGCATTTATACGGAGACTTGATTACACACAGGTGCATTCTATTTATCATCATCAGTCATTTAGGACAACATTGGATCATTCAAAGATCCTCACTGAACTTCTGGACTGAGTTTGCTGCACTGAAAGTAAAGGGGCCGAATAATATTGCACGCCCCACTTTTCAGTTTTTTATTTGTTAAAAAAGTTTAAATTATCCAATAAATTTCATTCCACTTCACGATTGTGTCCCACTTGTTTTTGATTCATGACAAAAAATTAAAATTTTATATCTTTATGTTTGAAGCCTGAAATGTGGCAAAATGTTGAAAGGTTCAAGGGGGCCGAATACTTTCGCAAGGCACTGTAAATGTGAATACATATTTGCACGAGGACACCGAGTGCGTTGCAAGAAAAAGAATCAGTTTTTTTCCAGGACAAGCGCTGACAGAAGTGAAGGAGGCACGGAACCGTTGAATATGTAGAACTGATAATAATTGGCCGTGAAAGTGATTTTAACCCAGGAGAGGATCCTGGGTTAAATGTTTAATGTTAGCTTGAAGCGTTACCTAGCCTAGCATGACGCCACACACATCAGTTACTGTGTTTTCCAGTTTATTTTGCTCTTGAATCACTGTTATTGCTTTTCAGACAATCAACGCTTCCATTTGGCAAAACAGCTGCAGCCGCTACACACGTCCCCGACATCGATGAAGACTTTCCAACCAGCAATTGACACATCCTGAGCAAAATGAAAATTGGCACATTGTCATTGGCTATTTTCTGTCAAGCAACGGTGGCGATAGAATAAACAAGTAATGGTTATTGTTATTATTGTTGTTATTATTATTATTTTTATTATTATTATTGCTATATTATTATTATTGTTATATTTTTATTATTATTATTTTTATTATTATTTTTATTATTATTATTATTGTTGTTATTTTTATTATTATTATTGTTATTATTATTATTATTATTATTATTATTGATGGTGGTAATGGTATTAATATAATTATTACTATTAATTGTAGTATTCATTTATTTTTTTATTTTGTAAAATTAAAAGCAATGCATATGCGAACACACTCTCGCACATCACGCACATACACACACATCTACACAAAACATTGTTCACTGTCCCTGTCTGTATTCTATGTATTCTTGTGTGTCTTGTACAGTGTATGTTTGTCATTTACCTGTTTGTAAAAATAAAAATACGAGTTATGTTTTTAGAGTCCGTCGTCATAGTCAGGCATTTCCAGCCCGTCTGCTCTCATCAGCCATGGCTTCATTTGTCATGCCTCAAGCTTCAGGAGATAATGTATTCCAACTCCCAGTTCCTGTTTGTAGAATCTGGCGAGCTCTCCAAACAACATGTCACACAGTTCTGCCGTTCCTTCAAATCTTGTCTTGAAGAAATTCCCAGCTGTCAGCGCTCTCCTCCAAGTGTCACGGTGAAAAACGTCTCAAAGATCCAGAGCTTGTAGAAGTCTATATTTAATCAATCAGGACTCGTACTGATTTCACCACGCTTTTTTATTCTCTTTTTGGTGCTTTTGTCCTTGATTGAAGATCCACTTCACATGCGATGGTATTAATCAGCATTTCACAGACAAATGCAGAATATGACAAGTTACAACAGACGCTCACAGATGTGTCTTTGTCGTATCAGAAGAAAAAAAGAGAAAGGATATTGATTGGAATGATGATGTATTCACAAAAGGGCTTTGGGTTCGATTCCACCTCCAGAGCTTTATGTGTAGAGTTTGCATGTTCTCCCCGTGTCTGTGTATGTTTCCTCTTGGTGCTTTGGTTTGGTTTCCTCCAGGTGCTCCAGTTTCCTCCAGGTGCTCCAGTTTCCTCCAGGTGCTCCGGTTTCCTCCCGGTGCTCCGGTTTCCTCCCGGTGCTCCGGTTTCCTCCAGGTGCTCCGGTTTCCTCCCGGTGCTCCGGTTTCCTCCCGGTGCTCCGGTTTCCTCCCGTTGCTCCGGTTTCCTCCCGTTGCTCCGGTTTCCTCCTGTTGCTCCGGTTTCCTCCAGGTGCTCCGGTTTCCTCCAGGTGCTCCGGTTTCCTCCAGGTGCTCCGGTTTCCTCCTGGTGTTCCGTTTTCCTCCCATTGCTCCGGTTTCCTCCTGGTGCTCCGGTTTCCTCCTGGTGCTCCAGTTTCCTCCTGGTGCTCCAGTTTCCTCCCGTTGGTCCGGTTTCCTCCAGGTGCTCCGGTTTCCTCCCGTTGCTCCAGTTTCCTCCAGGTGCTCCAGTTTCCTCCCGTTGCTCCAGTTTCCTCCAGGTGCTCCGGTTTCCTCCCGTTGCTCCAGTTTCCTCCAGGTGCTCCAGTTTCCTCCCGTTGCTCCGGTTTCCTCCAGGTGCTCCTGTTTCCTCCTGGTGTTCCGTTTTCCTCCCATTGCTCCGGTTTCCTCCTGGTGCTCCAGTTTCCTCCAGGTGCTCCGGTTTTTCCTCCCGTTGCTCCGGTTTCCTCCAGGTGCTCCGGTTTTTCCTCCCGTTGCTCCGGTTTCCTCCAGGTGCTCCGGTTTTTCCTCCTGGTGCTCCGGTGTCCCCTACTACATGTACAACAGGTCTGGCAGGTGCCTCCTGTATGGTGACCCTGCTCCCATGTGTGGATTGAGAAACAAATATAAAAATAAAAAAATAAAAAACCATGGTTGCCATAGTAACAGCGCCCGGAAACCACCTCCAGGTGTTTCGGCTCGGCCAGGACCGGAGATGGAGGATTCTACCTTTTATACCTGGTTTATCTGCTACTACTGCTACTGCTCCTACTAGTACTACTGCTCCTACTAGTACTGCTGCTACTGCTGCTACTACTACTACTGCTACAAGCACTGCTACTACTACTGCTACAAGCACTGCTACTACTACTGCTACTACTACTGCTACAAGCACTGCTACTACTACTGCTACTGCTATTACTACTGCTACTACTACTGCTATTACTACTGCTACTACTACTGTTACTACTACTACTACTGCTGCTACTGCTACTACTACTGCTATTACTACTGCTACTACTACTGTTACTACTACTACTACTGCTACTACTACTACTGCTGCTACTGCTATTACTACTGCTACTACTACTGTTACTGCTATTACTACTGCTACTACTACTGTTACTGCTATTACTACTGCTACTACTACTGTTACTACTGCTACTGCTACTACTACTGCTACTACTACTACTACTACTACTACTACTACTACTACTACTACTACTACTACTACTACTACTACTACTACTACTACTGCTACTGCTACTACTACTAATACTACCAGCACTGCTACATCTTCACCAGGTAAGTTACAGAGTCCAGATATTTCCTAACACACATGTGAGGTTGCTGGTTCCAAACCGGGGCAGATGCAGAGTGTGTTGCACCAGGCTGTGTGCAGACCTGCCTTTATCCTCTCTCTGGTGGAAGCGAAGGACGGGTGTCACTCAGAGAAGACCACTCCGGGGCGGCTGAGAGTCACTTTGATCTGCCCAAGCTGAGATCTGCTGACAACCGGCAGAGGCAGAGGAAGCAATCGAAGCCAGGCAAGCGCCCAAGTCGGTCAAGGCTTGTTATAGGAGGTGGAGAAAGAAAAAAGAAAAATCAATGTTCTTCCTTCCTAAGTGGGCACGCCGCGCTCAAGCCTGGGCCGCACTCAAGCCTGGGCCGCGCTCAAGCCTGGGCCGCGCTCAAGCCTGGGCCGCGCTCAAGCCTGGGCCGCTCAAGCCTGGGCCGCGCTCAAGCCTGGGCCGCGCTCAAGCCTGGGCCACGCTCAAGCCTGGGCCGCGCTCAAGCCTGGGCCGCGCTCAAGCCTGGGCCGCACTCAAGCCTGGGCCGCACTCACTGACATTTAAGTCCAGTTAGTATCATATTGTTTACCATGACTGTGATCCAGGGCTGTGGATAGAGCGGCTGCTAGCTGTTAGCATGATCTCAGAGGTAAATGTCAGTTCAATTAAAAGTAAAAAAGTGCCAGATATGGTCCGCGTTGGCACTTTCAAAGCCAGTCTATAGTGTGCTTAACGAGACACCTGAACATATGGGCCAAACAGCTGCACTTTGCAAATTCAGTCTATACAGTCTATGGGATCTTAAAAAAAGGTGTTGTAGTGTAATGAGGTGTCAATCGTTACATGTAATTAATACTTTAGCTACTTCCGGATCTTTCTGAAGAGTGCGTGTGTGTGTGTGTATGTGTGAGTGTGTGTGGGAGGGAAAGGTGTGTGTGTGTGTGTGTGTGTGAGGGAAAGGTATGTGTCTGTGTGTGTGTGTGTGTGTGTGTGTGAGGTAAGTAGTAGTAGTAGTAATCTTTATTTATATACCGCCTTTTCACTGCACATCAGAGTCTCAAAGCGGTTTACAATTGTTATTTTTGGGAGTGGGGCCAGTACAGGAGGCACATGCCAGACCTATTGTACATATTTTTAGTGGTAGGGGAAACCGGAGCACCCGGAGGAAACCTACGCAGACACGGGGAGAACATGCAAACTCCACTCAGAAAGGCCCTGGTCCAACCGGGATTCGAACCCAGGACCTTCTTGCTGAGAGGCGAGAGTGCTATCCACTCAGCCACCGTGCCGCCCGGTATGTGTGTGTGTGTGAGGGAAAGGTATGTGTGTGTGTGTGTGTGTGTGTGTGTGGGAGGGAAAGGTGTGTGTGTGTGTGTGTGTGTGTGTGAGGGAAAGGTACGTGTATGTGTGTGTGTGTGTGTATGTGTGTGTGTGTATGTGTGAGTGTGTGTGTGTGGGAGGGAAAGGTGTGTGTGTGTGTGTGTCTAACCCTGTGTCTGTTTCCTTTATTATATGTTGTGTGGCAGCAGCGGGCCACACAAAATTACACAGAGGGCCGCAATTGGCTCGCGGGCCTGAGTTTGGACCTGCCTGTCATAGAGCATGGTCAAGATATAACGGCCATCATGTAATCTACAGTAGATAGAGAAAGAGATTTAACACTTTCGCTGAATTTTACCCCCTGCCTTGGTTGCTTAATAGCCCATTTCCAGTAATTATATGACCTTTAGAAGCTCTTAGATAAATAGTGGGTCTTTCTGTAGAGCCGTGTCTAAGGAGTAGTGTCTGAAGCTGCCTCTCCTCTGTCAGGGGACGTTTGCTCCTGTGTTTTTCGGACGTGGAGTGGATTTATGTGGCTGTCCACCTCAGGTATCATCAAGTCGCTCTTGATCTCCCTCTCAGACAGTCCCACAGGAGTGAGACCAGCTCAAAGTCCTCACTGTTTTTCTCTTCAAATCTCTGCCAAAAGACTCATCGTCACCGGCTCCTGCTGCCGGCTCCGAGACGCTGAGGGCCACCGGGACTGTCATGGCTCCTCTTGTAGCTTTTGTTGTGTTATCTGCAGTTTTGGAACGAAATATATCAATCAGTCTTTGTTTGTAGAGCTTTTACTACACAGGGTAGATGGATGGATGCATTATCAATCAATCAATGTTTATTTCTATAGCACAGTTCATACAGAATGCAACCCAAAGTGCTTCACATCGGCAACATTTAAAAGCAATTTTAAAACAGACTGTAAAAACAAATACAAAAGACAGTTTGAGAAAATGAATAAATATATACATAAAAAATACATGTATGATCCGATTTCTTGATGATCAGTCGTAGGCACAGCTGAAAAGAACCGTTTTCAGCCTGGACTTGAACATAGCTAAAGAAGGAGCCTGTCTCACACCTTCGGGAAGACTGTTCCAGATTCTAGGTGCATGGGTCTTACCGTGTGTAAACTCTCGTCTATGATCATCTCCTACAGTTTGTGCTGAATTTTCTGGTTGTAGTTTGTCGGAGAATGCGATAGTAAAATAATCTGTTCTGGTTCAATCCAAATATCAAGAAACTGAAGCCGGAGCAAGAGGAATGTTTAGTAAATGTCATTGAGGCAAAGATGTTGTGGCTCTACTCCCCATGGGCTCCGTTAGTGGCAAAGGAGGTGGCTAAAGCTAGGCTAAATGCTAAAGCTAGGCTAAATGCCTCACTCACTCGGGCTCATTACATACAAACTCAGATCCAATGGTTTCAATCTGCAAAAGGAGTTAACCCCTCCCACCTGTTAACGGAGCCAATGGAGCAAATCCAGACCTTAGTATAAAATGAAATGCATACAGTGGTGTGGTAAGACCAGACTAGGTATGAGCACTCTCCAGTTTGTTCTTTCTGATGGCTTTTTGATACATCTTTCAACATACCTTCCATTTTCGGTCCGCACTGAACGCCAACATACATAATACATACATATGGAAGTACTTTGTCTGAAACATGTGTCTTTCTCTTCCGACGCCATTATCTCACATGCTTCAGTCATTCCACTCTCGCCGTCAGCTCTCAAGGCTGCGACGAGAAAGCAGTCCATTCACCGCCTTGTGTACCGACGCAAGTGAAGCAATGGCATCTATGTCCGAGAGTCATGATTAAAAAACTCTCGGCAGTCTGCTCACCTGAATGAAAGAGCAGCGGTGAACTCCAAAACTGGGCCAAGAACGACGGCGGCGTTTACAAAGTGCTTTTAGAACGCAGCCCTTCACATGACGAATGGCCTTTTCCTGCTCCGCCGACCTCTCTATCACAAGCCGGGCTCGAATCTGCAGTCGGCGGCGGCGCAGCGATGGGTGTCCAGGCCGAATGATTGAGTTCACTTCAAGAAATAGACGTAAAGGGCACATTTGGACGTGTTGGGATTCCGTGACATTACCCCATTGCTTTTCTTTGCGGTTCCTTCGCCGCGGTTTACCGGATCAACCGACTGCATGTGTGGGATTGATGGTGTTTGTCACGGAGAGGAGGAAATATGTAAGCTGCGTCTGAGAGAGGCTGTGGCGAAAGGGTTCTGCTCCGGTCAAATCTGAAGAGGATTCAAATGAGGAGATTTGTTTTTATATAAGATTAGATGTTTTAAATCATTGGTTGATAAACGGGAAAAAAAAACAATAATAATAATAATAATAACTTCCACAGACTCATTGATGCAGACTCATGGATCTATTATATTAACTGGATAGGGTATTACTAGCTTGTAGCTGAATAACTCATGTGCTCAGGGGATTCTCGTAGTACTGGCGGCACGGTGGCTGAGTGGATAGCACTCTCGCCTCTCAGCAAGAAGGTCCTGGGTTCGAATCCCGGCCGGACCAGGGCCTTTCTGAGTGGAGTTTGCATGTTCTCCCCGTGTCTGCGTAGGTTTTCCTCCGGGTACTCCGGTTTCCCCTACCACTAAAAACATGCACAATAGTTCTGGCATGCGCCTCCTGTTCGGCGACCCCGCTCCCATCTCTGTGGAGTGAGAGTAGGCCTGGGCGATATGGCAAAAAAGTAAAATCTCGATTTTATTTCCTGCTTTGGACGATGTCGATTTTAAATCGATTTTCATTAAAGTCACTCAAGACA